TTGCGGCCAGGCAACCAGGTAAGCTCCGTCTGGTAATTACGCTAATTGTTATGACAATAAGCCCAGAACAGCTGCGCGCTTTTCCGAATTTTGCATTCGATGCGATTGGCTATTGGCAAAAACGTTGCTACACAGGCTCCAACGCAATAAAACTCTATAAAACTCGCAGTATGCGAGCAACTTTAATGTGAAAACTTTTAATGAGCATTTCAACAAAAATGTGTAAAATGAGTTTCGATTCTTGCTCGATGCGACTTTCAACTTTTAGAAGCTCCCCCTCTCACTCTCTTTTTCTCTAGAAAAAATGAACAAAACATGAGTAGTTGGCTAATAATTAATTTAGCAAGTGCAATGCCTGTAAGCTGTCTTAACAAAAAATGCAATGTAAATGTCGGCCGACATTTAAAATGAATTTTTAGACATTGGCTGCGGAGACAACAAAAAATAGACCCAAATAGCACTTTGAGTCAGGGACCCTCCCTGGGTCTAAGTTTGGGTCTGGGGCTGGACCTGTTTCTGCCTGGTGCCTGTAGTGTAAACACAATTCAATTAACTCGGCGATTGTTGTCGAGCGGTTGGCCATTGTTGTCGACCCGGCAAGGACGCCAAAATAACTGAAAACTGAAAACGACAAGCCGATGATGAGGATGATGGGGACTAGGATGATGACGATGACGCTGATGGCACATAGCCAATGTCAATGCAGTCGCATATGGAATGAAGGAGAGAGCGTGAGGCAGCTGCCGCATGTACAACAAAGGAGGGCAGCCTGCAAATGCTGGTGGCATGCAACAAGCTGGCAAATGTTTGAGGCTGCCGCCGGCAACTCATTTGCATTATTAAAATTTTCATTTTGCGCTGCATTTACCCAAAAATAAAGCCACACCTAATTGACTTATCCCAGGACTAACGCGAAAAATAAAAAATCTAAATATGATAGAAACAAAAATCGCTTTATTAATTAAGGCCACAAAAAATAATTGTATTTAACTGGCTTTTGTGCTTCAAAAGTTTTCCAAACAACCAAATTTGTGTAAACAAAAGCCCAAAATGTTGATATTTTACAATTTTACATTTGATATATTACATGATTAAAAAATGTATATGAATTGAAAAGCAGTTTTTTTTAATTTAGCAGAATTACCTTTAGCAAAATATAGTTTAAATTTGTTAAAGAATGCAATTTCTCTATATTATAGATGGAGACCATATGTAACAAAATTGAAATTGATGTTAGCTTAAAATTCATTTACTTGTTACTTTTCCGAGAAATACTCTTGCATTCAACTTAGATCTAGTTTTAAAATTGTTTTTTTGCTAAAAAAAAACATCCACTTAAGTTCTTAAATGTTGGATGTGTTATGGTTGAATATTAATTTGCTATAGATGTAAATATTTTTAAGGAACTGATATCTTCGGCACGCCAAATATTATATACTCTTGTAAATATATGGCTTGGAGGTGCTTTAATACGAAGGACTTATTTCCATCCGTTTGTTTCTATGGGACAAATATAATATATAAGTCCAATTTAATACTCGTTGTGGCTTAATCTAATAAGTGATAACTATGGCTAAGAAATCTTAAACTCAAAATAGTATATAATACAAGTACTGAATTATTTTTCGATCATTCTTTTGGCAGTTATATGAATCCGACAAACGGACTAACTAAGATATCGACCCTGCTGTTAATGCTAATCAAAAATATATGTACTCTATGGGTTTGAATATGTTGTTATGGGTATTATTATGTATAATTATTTGGAGCATAATAAGTACATAATTCATAGTACTAAGATCATAGTAGTTTCCACTTGAAGGTTAAACAACGCCGTATCAAAGAGCTGCCAAAACCAGAGTGCCAAATGGTGCTTGAAAAAAATCATCAGAGCCCTGAACTGTATGGCTAATGATAAATAAAAGGTATGTACAGCGGTATTTGAATACCAAAAGTTAATGGACTAAAGAATGAGAAAAGGGCTAAGAAACGATGCGGGACGCGAGTTAGAGGCGTTTAGCGTTGCGTTCATTCATCATCTACGTGAATTTTCAAGCAAAGCAGCAGCTGAAGTGTAAATGTCATTGCCAGCTTTTGAATGTAAAGGAACAGGGGGGTACAGTGGGCTAGAAGGGGAACAGGGGAGCAGGACCATATGCTTTGTTGTTGTTGTATGCTTCCAACGAACGCGCGGCTCTTGGTTCCCGCCTGCTGGCTGGTGGCTGCGGTTGGCAACGCACGACTGCCGATGACACTTTTGCTGGAACATCAGCTCCAAGCTCGGAAGGGTAACCGAGTACAAGGACTGGGACAGGGACAGGGAAAGGGAAAGGGACAAAGATACGGGGAGCGCATACCATGAAGTGTGACTCTGATTCCTGGCCAGGTTGCTGACGTGGCGCCCACAGCAACGTGACTTCTGCCAAGAATAATGACTTAATTTTCCACCGCATACATTTTTGGCATTGTCACCCCTGACAGCCGTCTTTTGTTTGCATTTTACGAGACAACATTCTTAAACTTAAAACGAAATCAATCAAATTCTTGGGCTTTTCTTTTCATGTACAGAACTCATGTTAAAGGTTAAATTTGACAATAGTTTGAATTGCTTTTGATATGGATAGCCTCATTTTCTATTTTCTATTCTATTTTTTATTTCTTCTATTTTCTAAATCTTCGAAAATGGATTCAACAATTAATGATTGATGTAAATGCGTTCTATATTAATATATTTGCTTTGTCGTTAAAACTATCCGAGACTATCTACTACTATCGTGTTCCAACAGTAAGGTCTGTTTGCTTAGGACTGTGAATGCGCCCCAGTTTATAAATCTACATGTTAAACTAATTTTAAATTTAAGAACAATTTTGAACATTGAAAAATAAGCTTCGATTTCTCTATACTGTAAATTCTTACTTCTCCAGCACATCTGCGTTTTGATAAAAATAAATATATTACACACAGTTCACATATATTGACCCTAATCCAGGGTATTTATTAGGCGAGCTCTAGAGATTGCTTATCATTTTTATTTTTTGTAACTATAAATAGCTTTGGATCAAAATTTTTTTTTAAATTGAATACAAAGAGTGGCAGACATTTGTTATTGTTGCTGGGCTACTTGAGGGCGATTCACTGTGCGGTTGGATGGTCTCGCCCGTTTCTTATTAAATCTTTCCATTTGCTGCTACATCTCGTAGGTACGATTGCTAGATTGTGTATGTGCGTGCCAACTGTGCGTATGATTGATATAAATTTTGCTTTGATGAATGCCCTGCGGAACTGAGTTTTCGGCTTTGTTATTTATAGCCATTTTTGTCGGTTGTTGAGCCAATTTATTTTCTAGTTGCGGCTTATTAAATGCTTTAAAATGCCAGCTCTATGCCATATCGCAAACACAAAGTATACTATGCAAACCAAAGCGACTAAAGGTCTAGCCGAAACTTTTGCGTACATAAAATACCCAAATATATGTACGTATAAATGTATGTACGTATGTTTTTGCTTGTGTGCGAATCTAGATGTATTCAAATCAGGCTGCCTTTTTATGGCAAACACATCGCATTTGCATATCAAAATGTTTTTGACCAACAAAACAAAAAAGAACAATTTCATTGGGGTGCCGCACAATATATACTCTCAATTCACATGAAAAAAAAAAAACAACTTTTGGTCGATTATTTGTATAGTAGTTAGGGTAGATCCTGCATATATTGTTAAGATCAGGACAAAGCTGTGATAATCCAAACTGGGGCATATGAACAAAGCTACATCCTGATCATAAATAAATACTTTATGTATGTTATCGGAAAAGCCTCCATCAATGCGTTACACTATTTTCTAGCAAATATATAATACCGTGTATGAGAGCATAACAAGAGAGTGTGAATATATTATTTACGATGGATAAATGTAAAAAACATTGACACGTTTTGGTCAACGCAGAGGCAAAAGAAGCAGCAGCAACAACTAAAAATTGATTATTCTATTTATTTTATTTTAGTTCTCTGCTGCTACTTTGAATTTCTTCTAATAGTACTCATCAATTTTGTCAACATGTGTGTGTCTGTGCGTGAGTGTGTGTAAAAAATAACTACGCAATATATTGTACACTCGAGTTATATTGACTAGCTGATAGGATATATAAATAATGCATAGTCCTGCTCAAATCCTTGGCAAGCACCATTTTATGGGCTGCTTCCTCCATCCCGCCCTACGAAAATGCTTGTTGATTTATTTCTTGTGCATTGCAACTAAATGCATTCTGCATAAATAAAGCCCATTCACACTGGACACTCATTGAGCTTTTATTGGAAGCCAAGTTAAAGTATTTGTGTATAATCCTTACTCATTCATTCATTATTTTAGGAAATAAATGCGCAGTGCGATAGCTTTTCTGTATATCTTTGTCAAATTTGTATAGACAATAATTCCTTTTTAATTGTATTGCAAACAATTTTCGAGAAGTAGCACAAAGAACTAAACACTACTTAATATATAGCAATTTATTTTTATATTTTATGGAATTTTTTCGTAATTTAAACAACAGCGGTTGTTAATATAGTATAGTAATCGGGTACACATTCCTAGTTTGGTTAACATAACTTGACAAAAATAAGCTGAAATAACTTTATTTAGCAAAACCTTCTTATGGTAACTAACATACATATATGATATAGTAGTCTTATATTGTACTGTGCCATATGTACTGACAGATAGACGATAGACATTGCTCTATCAACTCGGTTGTTGACGCTGATCAATGATAGAGTCGGAGACGTCTCAATCAATGCGTTAGATAGTGCGGGCGAAAATAATAATATCCCGTAGAAGGGTATACAAAGAAATAATCCAACTATTTTCAATTAGTAGTTTTTGGATAAATCATCCCTCGAACATATATATGATATAGACATCTAAATAGCATCACATATATACCCATGAGTATGTCGTATCGCGAATTAAGATTCGTAGATTAGTTAAACTTCTACAAAACAATCAGTTGACATTTGAAAATTTGAAGTTTAACAAAACAAATATGAGAATATTAATTGGGCTCTAGAGAATTGTTGCAGCTTTTCAGTTATAATCTTGGAATGGACTCTTTCTAAATGAAGATTCGGCTCAGTGAATAATTGGTTGCAGCTACGTTCGGAGGGTGTGCAAAAGGAAGGCTCAAATGTAGCATAAAAATGGTGTCCCACCCGAAAGAAAAATACACTGAGAGTTATGGTAAATAGTAAATGAAATAGTAATGTTTATTTTATAAATTCGAAATTCGATGCACTGGGCCTAAATCTAAGTCTTAAGCTAGTTACTAAGATATTATTAGATAGTCTTTCGAGGACGCCGTTGAAGACGTGTGCGTAGCATTTTGTTCTCATCGGCGCACTTGGTGGTTATGGCGGTGCGCACCTCACGTGGCGTCATCTGCAGACTGTTGGTCATCAGATAGACAAGATCGGCTACCTTTAGAGGGTCCAGCTGCTGCTTGCTGGGCCGTGCGCAGTCCTTGAAGGCGGGAGACGGCTTGCCGGAGAGCGTGTGGAAGGCGAGGGTGGCTCGATCGAAGATTTCGCAAAGCAACTTGCGGGTTATGGCCGGCCCGGACATGGCCCAGTTGATGCCCTGCAGGCAAGCGCGCGATATCTGTGTGCCATTGGGCCCAATGGTGACCATAGTTGAGCCTGCATCGTGATCGAATTCAATTTGCGGACAAATGCGCTTTGCATTTGGTGTAGATGTAACAGGCTTCTTGAGACGCTTGCGCTTACCGCTGCTCTCGGCACTGGGCACATACTCCTCATCATCCTCGTCCAGCTCAATGGCATTTTCGTTCTCCTTCTCGTCATCATCGTCTTCGTTTGTCTTGGGTGTTGATGTGTTGTGCTCGTCGGCGCCGTCGCGAAACAGCTCAAAGTGTGCCGATCTCTGTGCGTGCTCCTGATCCATGGTCTGCACCTTCTCGATCTCGATGGTGAGCAAATCGAGCGCTTTGCGTTTGCTGCGCTCCCAACGCTGAAGCATCTGGAGGCGCGCTTCATTCAGCGCTTGAATGTTGTTCTCCTTGAGCTCACGGCGATCCACTTTGGCCAGCGCTGCCTCCTCATCCATGACCAAGTCAGAGTTGTCGATAAACTCGTGATCCTCCTCTAAGTTCTCCTCATCCAGCTTGCATTGTGTTTTCAGCAGTTTCTCAGCTGCCAGCGTCAGAGTAGCCAAAGTGCTAAGCATTTGCTTGGGCCTGGTGTAGACACCTTCGGATTCCTCTATGCAACGCATGGTCTGCTCGGCAAAGCCTTTGGCGTCGCGCTGCCGTTGGCGCGCCTTCTCATCGTCACTTTCCTCCTCGCCGGAGGTGTCATCTGTGCGCAGGCGTGCTATTATCTGCTCCACCTGTTGTTGTGCGGCAGATAGCTGCACCTTCTTGGGGTCGTAGGGCAATATGCTGAGTGCGAACTCCAAACGTTGACGGCGATTGATCTTAGGAGAGAAATAGATTCAAAATGAATATAATAATAGTTTAGGGATATTTTGTTGACAGCTCACTTACCATTTTCTCGGTTGCTGTCCAATTGTAGACTGACTGTCTCTTAATAAGCAACGTTCTTTTATATCCTGACCAATACGATCGATTTCGCTTACAGGTAAATTCCAGAATTATCTAATTTATTGCCTTTTCTGTCTTGCAGATGCTTTTCGCACCTACGGGCGATACTTAAACGCGTTGAGCCGCCTGCATTGGATGCACGGTTCGGCGCAAGGAGGATCACCGTCATCGCCAACCCAACCACTGAGTCGCCTACCTGCAGGTTCGTGCCGCAGCTGTCACTGTGACAAGGTAAAAAATGAACAGTTATGTGGTAATGACCTACCTGGTCCTTTTCGCACGAATCGACCCACATACATCGTTTTCGATGAGGTGGACCCTATTGCAGCTTTGGAGGAGAGCTTTGAATTTACCGCAGATTCTGCATCTAAGGACACAGTATTTGTTCAGCACAAGACCACCCAGACAGACGACCGTATCTTATTCTCGCCATCGTTTTTAATGATTAAAGGTGACTCGCTAGATCCAGTTAACAATCCTGCTGGCAATCTTTCTGAACATTCGGTTGTACGGAAGGACTCTGATAAAGTAAATCAAAGAAATTCCACAGAGGAGCAATCAAATACACAGGAGGATAAAGTTACAAGAGTGACACAAGATGACGGCGATGAAATAAGGATGCCTCTCTCCGAATTCTATTACACATCGGCGAATTCCAAGCGACCAATTAAGAAACCAGATACAGCGAAGGGTTCTCAGCGTGCAGGGGCAAGTCTCGATACACCTAAAAAATCGCACATATTTGGCTCCCATAAACATTTTGTTGAACACATACGCTTTTTGAAACGACCATTAATAACAGTAAGGTCCGCCAGCAGAAAAAATGAAAATAATCGACAAGATTCTAAACCCAAGGAAGAAATGGAAACTTATGAAAAGAAAAGGCCAAGTTACGACAAAGAAACACAATACGAACTATATGAGATGGATGAAAAGCCCTGCAGAAGATGTGACATTATACCGATGTTAGGCCACCAACTGAGCAGAATGCGTTTCACAATTGAGCGACTAGAGGCACAGTTGGGGGAACTAAAAAATGACGTCGACGCACTGAAACGTAAGAGAAGGCGAGAGGCTCAGGAGAGTGCTCAAACACATACCTATATTAAGCCCGATAGAAATCAATCGCTAGATAGGTTCGTGGTAATTAAAGCCAGCAGTTTGACTCCTCCAGTCAAGACCCAAAATGGTTTGAAAATTATAAAGATACCCAAGATGCAGCCAGACTCCGAAATCTCCTATATTGATACAACCAATTGCAAAACCAATGCGGCGAGGGAGCCCACCGCTAATAGAATGCCGACCCATAGAACATCCTGTATACGTGTATGCGAACAAAATACCAGCGAATTGCTTGGACCTAAGGAATTAAAAGGCATTTGGCCACACGACAAAGAAAATTCAATTGATATAAAGCTTCCTGCTAATACCAATACTTCAACAGAGACGTTTACGCCCTACACTTGGGCTCGGAACAAGCCAACAGTTCAAGAAACCAATTACAATATTCAACGAGAACACAAGAAACCATTTTTAGTTCAGACTAAGTCTAATACCAATAGTTCCACTGATTCTAAGAAAGCCACTACCTTTAAGCAGTCGCACCAAGGAAACCCGATTATTATTGTGCATAACTATAAAGCGAAAACGTCGTCTGAGGCCGCCGAGCTTCCGAGAGTCCAGCCGAAATCTCATAATCAGCTGGAATCCCAGCCCTCCAGTGTGTGTCAATTCTGCTCGAATAAGGTTCAGCGTGTGTTGGATGATCTAGTTGGTGCGTTGGTTAAGGTGATTGGGGATCGGCCCTATAAAAGTATCTTGCTGTCCATTCTCCTGCGCTCCGACAATGTCTATCATGTTAACGTACAGGTGAGGGAGACAATGCATGTACTCGGCTGCTTGCTGGTCAATCACGCCGCCATAGAGGAGGCCATCAAGCGGGGCATATTCAAAGAGATTCTCACCTACTCTGTGATTGATGTGCGTAATACGATCAAGCCAATCGGTCCTCCAATCGGTATACCATTCGAATTTATTGCAAAGCCACGAAATAATGCACATAACGATACAAAAAAGGATGAATCTGCCAACATTGAGGATTTGAGAACCCAGGCGTTTATCACTAAAGTTCTCGGAGTACCAGCAGATAAAATAAGTAAAAATGTCAAATAATTTTAATTTCGGAAGATTCATTCAAGATTCAGCGAATGAATGTCCTAATGTTTTAAGCAATTTTTTAGAGTTTATAAGAATCATTTTATTCAAATGGACAAAACTTTTCGAGAGTACAATAAATCGTCTGCAATTAAGTGGCAAAGATAACTTTAATTATTATTGAAACAAGCAAATTAATATTAAATATTCTTTTTTTCCAGAAACAAGGAAGTTTGTTTCAGAACATCAAATGACTGATTATTCTGCATTTTTCTTAATATTGCACAACATACTGATGACAGACGGACACGATTGTTTCGACTCAGCATAAGAACATCTTGTGGGATATAAGCTGCCTTTTCCATTGTAAGAAGATAACTTATTAAAATAATAAGGGAATTAGCAACCATATCCTACACGATCAGGCTCTACTACCGCCCCATTAACCACGATCCGGCGAGTAATACGAACTGCGTAGCCTCAAATAAGGCTAAGATGTCATATAACTTATAAATTTGAAAATGAATAGGAATATATCTGATGGATACGCCCATTAGCAATGAATATTATGTGAAGTGAAAGGAGAATATTGGTTTTGTACCATGTCAATCTAGCTGCCCGTCTAGCCGTCCGGCTGTCTCTTCGAGAATGAAAACTTGTGTTATATACTCGTGTATACAATAAAAATTATATCTTTATTTTTATAACTTATTATAACTTTCACAGTTTTAAAGCTAGAATAACCAAATTTGTAAGAGGTACACCCCACTACGAAGTTCTTCTTATTATCATCAGTATGAGTATAGGCCATTAACCGAACTTGTATTAAATAGAGCTGACTATCATTGCCTTCGGCCAGGACAGCACAACATCCAATTTTACGTCTGAGAATCGAGCAGATAGCGTCCTTTTCCAGTTGCCTGAGTGATTGGGACAATGCATCCATGTTGTTAGGGATAGTGAAACGCATATCGAATGCCTGAAGAATTGGCGAAATCAGCTTTTATGGCCGCTAATCCACGCAGCTGCTCATCGATCGGTCGACGCACAATTAGGTAAATCCGTGCAACTGGCTGTCATAAATCCGGGACGGGAAAAGGGTGATCTACCTGGCGCTGGTAGGAAAAGGGATCGCCCGCAGACGCTTAAAAGCATGCGACGGCGAGCAGCGGGCATCAGTTTGTTGAGAGCAGAGCAACAGAAAGAACTACTCCTAATTACAGTCATGAGCAACATTAGCAACGATAGCGGCTTGGACGACTCGGCGAATTGTGGCGCGGCAGGCAATGCGGGCGCGGCGGCAGCAACGCGTCTGTCCTGGTTCCTAGCCGAGGTGGACGATGGCTCGATGAAGAACGGCAAGCCGAATGGCAAGAAGCGTTTCTGCGTTCTGCACAGCATGGAACTGCTGGAAACGGACGTATCTGACAAGTACATGACGCGCTTTGTTGAGTTCCGCGTCAATGGCATCAAGCTGGAGGCGAAACTCATATTGGCCGCCGATGAACGCAAGCTGGTAGACGCCGCCCTATTATCTATGAGCAAGCAGCAGCGCGATGAGGAGGACGATGTCCGACAGCTGCTGGTGCAGTACACCGAAGAGGATGCGGCGGGCAAGCGTTTGGTGCAGAAAATGATCTCGCCCCATCGCGTTGTCTGGCTGAGCACAAAGCCCGAGCTGGGAGGCACGCCGCTGGTTAAACTGAGTCCGGGCTGCATAGGTCATGTGCTGTACGCCTACGAGCAGCGCGATTATATGGAGAAGGTGCTGCTGCACTTGAAGGCGCGCTGCTTTGACCACGCTTTCGACGAACATTTGGACGCTGCCCTGGAGCCCATGGACGAGCACACCTGGCTGCTGGTGCAGTATAGCCCCGAGCCGGAAACGGTCGTCTATCAGGTCATACCCTACAGTCAGACGGTGTGGCGCCAGGAGAATCTCTTCAAGGACGTCATCGCCTACGTGCAGCTGCCTGGCAGTGAAGTGGTGCTGCAAGCGGTCGTCATAAGCTACGGCCAGGATCAGAAGCAGATGGAGGCCAAGTACGAGCAGCTGCGTCGTTATGCCTTGGATATGGAGTTTCCGCTGCCCGATGAACTGGATCACCAACTGCAGCAGGGTAGCGGCACTGCTGCTCTTTTTGCTCGCACCAGCAGCACACTCTTCCAACGTGCAGAGCAGCGCGACGCCAGCGGGGAGCACAAACAGCTGCGACGCAGTCTTGAACAGATGAGCGAGAAGGCACAGAGCGAGGCAGAGATGATCATCGACGCCTTCGACATGGTCGACAACATCAATAGAAATCTACAGGCGAAAATCGAGATCGCATCCAATTCAGGCGATGACATGCATTAGTTGCTTGGACATGAACGCTGCCTTAGTTAAGATTGCACCGAACCTAGTTCTACAAGTTCCATTATATTCTTATAGTAGCTTTTAGTTTTTAGTTATTATAATAAGTTTTTTCAAAATCCTTAAAATATATGACATTAGTAATCTCTATATATAAAACTGTTTGTCCTGACTGACTGATTGACTCAATGACTGACTGACTGACTGATTGTTGATAAACGTACAGTCCAAGCCGTAAGAGCTAGAAAGCTGAAATTTTTACTGTAGTTACCTTGTGTGATGAAGGTGCACCCCACCCCCACTAGTAGTAGTAGATCCTTACGCGTCAAAAATGGTAGAAGATTCCAAAATCTGACATTATTTGGCCGAGATATTTAAAAAATCATCAAAAAATGTTGACTTTACAAACGAATCGTCTTTTGGTCAACCACTTTTTTTAACCCATCGATTTTTTAAATATTTGAATGCCAATTGATAGTAGGGATCCCTACGAATTCAAAAAGGTAGAACATTTTAAAATCTGACAGTATTTACCCGAGATATTCAACAAAAATCATCAAAAAAGTTTTGATTTTCGAACCGACCCCGAACTTGAGAACAAACGTGACTTGCCATTTTGTTGATTTTTGTCAAAATTTAGATTTTCATATTTTTGATGCCAATCGAAAGTACTGATCCTTACGATTCCAAAATGGTATAAGATTCCAAACTCTGACATTATTTGGCCTAGATATTCCAAAAAATCATCAAAAAATGTTAACTTTACAAACGAATCGTCTTTTGGTCAACCACTTTTTTTAACCCATCGATTTTTTAAATATTTGAATGCCAATTGATAGTAGGGATCCTTACGAATTCAAACAGGAATAACATTTCAAAATCTGACAGTATTTACCCGAGATATTCAACAAAAATCATCAAAAAAGTTTTGATTTTCGAACCGACCCCGAATTTGAGAACAAACGTGATGTAACCCCTTGCCATTTTGTTGATTTTGGTCAAAATTTAGATTTTCATATTTTTGATGCCAATCGAAAGTACTTATCCTTACGAGTCCAAAATGGTATAAGATTCCAAACTCTGACATTATTTGGCCGAGATATTCCAAAAAATCATCAAAAAATGTTGACTTTACAAACGAATCGTCTTTTGGTCAACCACTTTTTTTAACCCATCGATTTTTTAAATATTTGAATGCCAATTGATAGTAGGGATCCTTACGAATTCAAACAGGAATAACATTTCAAAATCTGACAGTATTTACCCGAGATATTCAACAAAAATCATCAAAAAAGTTTTGATTTTCGAACCGACCCCGAATTTGAGAACAAACGTGATGTAACCCCTTGCCATTTTGTTGATTTTGGTCAAAATTTAGATTTTCATATTTTTGATGCCAATCGAAAGTACTTATCCTTACGAGTCCAAAATGGTATAAGATTCCAAACTCTGACATTATTTGGACGAGATATTCCAAAAAATCATCAAAAAATGTTGACTTTACAAACGAATCGTCTTTTGGTCAACCACTTTTCTTAACCCAACGATTTTTAAAATGTTTGAATGCCAATTGATAGTAGGGATCCTTACGAATTCAAACAGGAATAACATTTCAAAATCTGACAGTATTTACCCGAGATATTCAATAAAAATAATCAAAAAAGTTTTGATTTTCGAACCGACCCCGAATTGGAGAACAAACGTGATGTTACCCCTTGCCATTTTGTTGATTTTGGTCAAAATTTAGATTTTCATATTTTTGATGCCAATCGAAAGTACTGATCCTTACGATTCCAAAATGGTATAAGATTCCAAACTCTGACATTATTTGGCCTAGATATTCCAAAAAATCATCAACAAATGTTAACTTTACAAACGAATCGTCTTTTGGTCAACCACTTTTTTTAACCCATCGATTTTTTAAATATTTGAATGCCAATTGATAGTAGGGATCCCTACGAATTCAAAAAGGTATAACATTTTAAAATCTGACATTATTTACCCGAGATATTCAACAAAAATCATCAAAAAAGTTTTGATTTTCGAACCGACCCCGAATTTGAGAAAAAACGTGATGTAACCCCTTGCCATTTTGTTGATTTTGGTCAAAATTTAGATTTTCATATTTTTGATGCCAATCGAAAGTACTGATCCTTACGATTCCAAAATGGTATAAGATTCCAAACTCTGACATTATTTGGCCTAGATATTCCAAAAAATCATCAAAAAATGTTGACTTTACAAACGAATCGTTTTTTGGTCAACCACTTTTCTTAACCCAACGATTTTTAAAATGTTTGAATGCCAATTGATAGTAGGGATCCCTACGAATTCAGAAAGGTATAACATTTTAAAATCTGACAGTATTTACCCGAGATATTTAACAAAAATCATCAAAAAAGTTTTGATTTTCGAACCGACCCCGAGTTTGAGAACAAACGTGATGTAACCCCTTTCCACTTTGTTGATTTTGTAAAATTTAGATTTTCTATTTTAGATTTTCATATTTTTGATGCCAATCGAAAGTACTGATCCTTACGATTCCAAAATGGTATAAGATTCCAAACTCTGACATTATTTGGCCGAGATATTGCAAAATATCATCCGAAAATGTTGACTTTACAAACGAATCGTCTTTTGGTCAACCACTTTTTTTAACCCATCGATTTTTTAAATATTTGAATGCCAATTGATAGTAGGGATCCCTACGAATTCAAAAAGGTATAACATTTTAAAATCTGACAGTATTTACCCGAGATATTCAACAAAAATCATCAAAAAAGTTTTGATTTTCGAACCGACCCCGAATTTGAGAAAAAACGTGATGTAACCCCTTGCCATTTTGTTGATTTTGGTCAAAATTTAGATTTTCATATTTTTGATGCCAATCGAAAGTACTGATCCTTACGATTCCAAAATGGTATAAGATTCCAAACTCTGACATTATTTGGCCGAGATATTCCAAAATATCATCCGAAAATGTTGACTTTACAAACGAATCGTCTTTTGGTCAACCACTTTTTTTAACCCATCGATTTTTTAAATGTTTGAATGCCAATTGATAGTAGGGATCCCTACGAATTCAAAAAGGTATAACATTTTAAAATCTGACAGTATTTACCCGAGATATTTAAAAAAATCATCAAAAAGTTTTGATTTGGTCAAATTGATTCAAAAAAGTTTTGATTTGGTCAAAATTTAGATTTTCATATTTTTGATGCCAATCGAAAGTACTGATCCTTACGAGTCCAAAATGGTATAAGATTCCAAACTCTGACATTATTTGGCCGAGATATTGCAAAATATCATCCGAAAATGTTGACTTTACAAACGAATCGTCTTTTGGTCAACCACTTTTTTTAACCCATCGATTTTTTAAATATTTGAATGCCAATTGATAGTAGGGATCCCTACGAATTCAAAAAGGTATAACATTTTAAAATCTGACAGTATTTACCCGAGATATTCAACAAAAATCATCAAAAAAGTTTTGATTTTCGAACCGACCCCGAATTTGAGAAAAAACGTGATGTAACCCCTTGCCATTTTGTTGATTTTGGTCAAAATTTAGATTTTCATATTTTTGATGCCAATCGAAAGTACTGATCCTTACGATTCCAAAATGGTATAAGATTCCTAAATCTGACATTATTTGGCCTAGATATTCCAAAAAATCATCAAAATGTTGACTTTACAAACGAATCGTCTTTTGGTCAACCACTTTTTTTAACCATCGATTTTTAAATGTTTGAATGCCAATTGATAGTAGGGATCCCTACGAATTCAAAAAGGTATAACATTTTAAAATCTGACAGTATTTACCCGAGATATTTAATAAAAATCATCAAAAAAGTTTTGATTTGGTCAAAATTTAGATTTTCATATTTTTGATGCCAATCGAAAGTACTGATCCTTACGAGTCCAAAATGGTATAAGATTCCAAACTCTGACATTATTTGGCCGAGATATTCCAAAAAATCATCAAAAAATGTTGACTTTACAAACGAATCGTTTTTTGGTCAACCACTTTTTTTAACCCATCGATTTTTAAAATGTTTGAATGCCAATTGATAGTAGGGATCCCTACGAATTCAAAAAGGTATAACATTTCAAAATCTGACAGTATTTACCCGAGATATTCAACAAAAATCATCAAAAAAGTTTTGATTTTCGAACCGACCCCGAATTTGAGAAAAAACGTGATGTAACCCCTTGCCATTTTGTTGATTTTGGTCAAAATTTAGATTTTCATATTTTTGATGCCAATCGAAGTACTGTCCTTACGAGTCCAAATGGTATAAGATTCCTAAATCTGACATTATTTGGCCAGATATTCCAAAAAATCATCTGAAAAAGATTGTTGAAGTTGCAATAGATAGTTTTGGATCCACTACGAATTCGATAAAAGGTATAACATTCCAAACTCTGACATTATTTGGCCGAGATATTCAAAAAAATCATCAAAAAATGTTGATTTTACGAAACGAATCGTATTTTGGTCAACCACTTTTTTTAACCCATCGATTTTTTAAATATTTGAATGCCAATTGATAGTAGGGATCCTTACGAATTCAAAAAGGTATAACATTTCAAAATCTGACAGTATTTGCCCGAGATATTCCAAAAAATCATCAAAAAAGTTTTCGATTTTCAACCACCCCAAATTTTAAAAGTGAATGCCAAGTGATGTAGACCCCTTGCAATTTTGTCTGAATTATTGGTCAAAATTAATCATCAAAATTTTGATGCTCGAATCGACCGAATTTGATAACAAACGTGAGAACCCCTTGCCATTTTGTTGATTTTGGTCAAAATTTAGATTTTCATATTTTTGATGCCAATCGAAAGTACTGATCCTTACGATTCCAAAATGGTATAAGATTCCAAATCTGACATTATTTGGCCTAGATATTCCAAAAAATCATCAAAAAATGTTGACTTTACAAACGAATCGTTTTTGGTCAACCACTTTTTTAACCAACGATTTTTAAAATGTTTGAATG